TGGGTCAAAACATCAAAGAATAAATCATCTTTCCCAAGATGAGCTCGAACGCTCACAAAACTTCCACCAGGTTACGGGGACCTAGGCAGACAATGTCGAAATTGATGCTCAGGACAAATTCGATCAGATTAATATTTTAGGAGCAGTTCCTTGCTACCTTTTGTAGAAAGAGGAGTGGCAGGGAAAATCATTAAACTACTTCTAGATGCGGGCGCTTCGAAGAATTATATTAAACCTTTAAAAGGTCTAAAAGGCATAGTTCCAGTAAGCAATCCATTTATGGTGAAGTCAATTCACGGCTTCACAGCAATTAAAGAAAAGTGCAAGGTGAATATTTTCAACACCAATAGTCCGTTTTTATACCCTCCACCATACTATGGAGGGTATATTAACTTTGTCATTCCGTTTGTAACTCCTCGAAATACTCATGTCAGACCCAACAAAGTTTGTATATTCTGGATCAGCGTAAAATTCTAAGTCGATTTAGCGATGTCCGTCTGTCTGTCTGTTGTAATCAAGCTATCTTTCGAATGAATTGAGATAGATGGCACACATGTTTATTTTTCCAGTAGGCAGGTTATATTCGTAAATGGGCCATGTAGGTCCACGTTTTCATACAGCCCCCATATAACGGTACCTCCCGATATTCGGTATTTTAATGATTTTAGCGACATTATTCACCGGAATTGTTTCAAATTTGGTATTTGAAGTTCGAAATGGATACTACACCCTAAGACAGAAAATTGTCTGTGCAGATCCACGTCTTCGTATAGCCCCCATATAATGGTACCTCCCTATGTTCGGTATTTTGATGATTTTAGCGACATTATTCACCAGAGTTGTTTCAAATTACGTATTTGGAGTTCGTTATGAGAACTACAATCTGTGACAGAAAATTGTCTATGTAGGTCCAGGTCTTCGTATAGGCCCCATAAAACGACGCCTCCCGATATTCGGTATTTTGTTGATTTCAGCAACATTATTCACCAGAATTGTCTCAAATTTATTACTGGAAGATCCTGATGGGTACTTTAACCTATGACAAAAAATTTCGTATGTCCACGTCTTCGTATTGTCCCCATAAAACGGTTTTCATTTCAGTGGCAATTTTCGGTTTTTTTTTTTTTTTGGTATATTTAATAGTTTTGTTGGATTTTCACTGTGTTCTATGCTGATTAGATCACTTATTTATTCAGTAGACCCAAAGTTTTCGATTGTCGATAGACAAATTGTGCTTTTTATATGCATTTGATTGTAACTAATGTGATTTTTTTTTTTTTGCTTCTTATTTTTTATTTCATATTTTGCCAATTGATGGATTTGGTGGAATTGATATTTTAGCACTGGATATAACTAAAACTTTCGGTTATATTGATAATTCAAATCTGATGTACATTTAACTGCAATTCATGTACATTTATTGCTTCTTATTTGTTTGAACGTTCTCAGTGTGTTTCATATTTACAGCGGGTAACTCAATGTTCAAGTTTAAGCACGCGGGCGACCTACATTTATTTTTTAATGGACAAGCACTCAGTTAGGGACCGACATAAATACAATGTAGGCTCGTTCTTATATTTTCCCTTTATAGTCCACTTTTGTTATCCCTTATTTTAGGAAAAGTGAAGGATAAAATTCACATTATCGGATTCTCATTATTAAGCTGCCCTCAGACACACCAACAGTTGGCCCAACTTGTGACAAGTTGGTACAACTATTGGTGCGTCTGAGGGCTAGTTGGTTGAAGTTGGTTGGAAATATCAAAAATTTTTGATAATTTCGTAAGTTGGGCCAACTGTTGGTGCGTCCGAGGGCAAGTTGTACCAACTTCAGTGTTTTCTTCATTTATGTCTTGACTTTGGTGAAGCAGCACATACATAAGCTGAGCGCTGAGCAAATTTTTTCTTCAGCTTTTTCTTTCTCTGCAGTTGTCTTTCTTCTTCTTCCTCTAAAATTATATCAATTCCAAGTAGCGCAAGAGCATCCGAGTTCATGTTGACGCTTCAAAAATACTTTGTAAATGAAAAGTTGGTACAACAGTTGGTACGTGCGAGGAGACCGACCAACTTTTTCATACAACTTAAAAGTGACAAGTTGGGCCAACTGTTGGTGTGTCTGAGGGCAGCTTTACATCTATAGTTTAAAATATATGCATTTTTACAGATATATGGCAAGCTTTATGTAAAATAACTGGTAGGTTGAAAATAATAAACAAAACGAATTTGTTATTTATTTCGTGAAATAACATTATAATTCAGTTCTTCAATATAAAACAAACGATTTACGTTATTCATTTATTTATTTAAATAAATTTTGCTGTTCTTGTCACATTATCAATATAAAATATGGCAACATGATTTCAGTAAACTTTACGTTAAAGTATAAACTGAAGATGATCTGGCCTTTTGCTTATCAGACAGTTTTTATTTAAACGACACATAACGAAAAACGATTTATGTGTCCGACAACATCACTTTTTTATCTACCGAAAATATGTAATAACCGGCCATAATGTTCCATTTCACGCTATAATAAAATTGTAGTAACTGTTTATAAGACAAATGTTAATACTTTATTCTAAAAAGAAGTTATATTTTAATATTATCTTTCAACTCATAACCTTTTCCAACTACAATTCTTTCGGTTTTACTTATGGAAATACATAAATTCTGAAACAAATAGACGTATGTTAATATGTTATTCTCAGCTACAAGTTATATTTAAATATTACCTCTCAATACATAACCTTTTCCACCTACAATTGATTCGGTTTTACTTATGGAAATACATACATTTTGAAACAAATAGACATATGTTAATATGTTATTCTCAACTACAAGTTATATTTAAATATTATCTCTCAACACATAACCTTTTCCACACACAATTGTTCCGGTTTTACTTATGGATATACATACATTTTGAAACAAATAATTAAGTTTTAAAATGCGAATTAAATTAAAATATACATTTTTTGTTGTACTGATATTTGTGCAGTGTCAAGTCGGAAATATTTGTTTTGGTACGTTGTGACCCCGATTTCTACGTTTATTATACAGATGTCAATATAAAATTAAAAATTGTTAGAAAAAACAATCATTTGTTTATACATTTGAGTAGGTTGCTTTTTCTGAGCTGCAGATTTTTAAAATATTCGGTATTTTGTTGATTTCAGCAACATTATTCACCAGAATTGTTTCAAATTTATTACTGGAAGATCCTGATGGGTACTTTAACCTATGACAAAAAATTTCGTATGTCCACGTCTTCGTATTGTCCCCATAAAACGGTTTTCATTTCAGTGGCAATTTTCGGTTTTTTTTTTTTTTGGTATATTTAATAGTTTTGTTGGATTTTCACTGTGTTCTATGCTGATTAGATCACTTATTTATTCAGTAGACTCAAAGTTTTCGATTGTCGATAGACAAATTGTGCTTTTTATATGCATTTGATTGTAACTAATGTGATTTTTTTGCTTCTTATTTTTTATTTCATATTTTGCCAATTGATGGAGGTGGTGGAATTGATATTTTAGCACTGGATATAACTAAAACTCTCGGTTACATTGATAATTCAAATCTGATGTACATTTAACTGCAATTCATGTACATTTATTGCTTCTTATTTGATTGAACGTTCTCAGTGTGTTTCATATTTACAGCGGGTAACTCAATGTTCAAGTTTAAGTACGCGGGCGACCTACATTTATTTTTTAATGGACAAGCACTCAGTTAGGGACCAACATAAATACAATGTAGGCTCGTTCTTATATTTTCCCTTTATAATCCACTTTTGTTATCCCTTATTTTAGGAAAAGTGAAGGATAAAATTCACATTATCGGATTCTCATTATTAAGCTGCCCTCAGACACACCAACAGTTGGCCCAACTTGTGACAATTTGGTACAACTATTGGTGCGTCTGAGGGCTAGTTGGTTGAAGTTGGTTGGAAATATCAAAAATTTTTGATAATTTCGTAAGTTGGGCCAACTGTTGGTGCGTCCGAGGGCAAGTTGTACCAACTTCAGTGTTTTCTTCATTTATGTCTTGACTTTGGTGAAGCAGCACATACATAAGCTGAGCGCTGAGCAAATTTTTTTCTTCAGCTTTTTCTTTCTCTGCAGTTGTCTTTCTTCTTCTTCCTCTAAAATTTTATCAATTCCAAGTAGCGCAAGAGCATCCGAGTTCATGTTGACGCTTCAAAAATACTTTGTAAATGAAAAGTTGGTACAACAGTTGGTACGTGCGAGGAGACCGACCAACTTTTTCATACAACTTAAAAGTGACAAGTTGGGCCAACTTTTGGTGTGTCTGAGGGCAGCTTTACATCTATAGTTTAAAATATATGCATTTTTACAGATATATGGCAAGCTTTATGTAAAATAACTGGTAGGTTGAAAATAATAAACAAAACGAATTTGTTATTTATTTCGTGAAATAACATTATAATTCAGTTCTTCAATATAAAACAAACGATTTACGTTATTCATTTATTTATTTAAATAAATTTTGCTGTTCTTGTCATATTATCAATATAAAATATGGCAACATGATTTCAGTAAACTTTACGTTAAAGTATAAACTGAAGATGATCTGGCCTTTTGCTTATCAGACAGTTTTTATTTAAATGACACATAGCGAAAAACGATTTATGTGTCCGACAACATCACTTTTTTATCTATCGAAAATATGTAATAACCGGCCATAATGTTCCATTTCACGCTATAATAAAATTGTAGTAACTGTTTATAAGACAAATGTTAATACTTTATTCTAAAAAGAAGTTATATTTTAATATTATCTCTCAACTCATAACCTTTTCCAACTACAATTCTTTCGGTTTTACTTATGGAAATACATAAATTCTGAAACAAATAGACGTATGTTAATATGTTATTCTCAGCTACAAGTTATATTTAAATATTACCTCTCAATACATAACCTTTTCCACCTACAATTGATTCGGTTTTACTTATGGAAATACATACATTTTGAAACAAATAGACATATGTTAATATGTTATTCTCAACTACAAGTTATATTTAAATATTATCTCTCAACACATAACCTTTTCCACACACAATTGTTCCGGTTTTACTTATGGATATACATACATTTTGAAACAAATAATTAAGTTTTAAAATGCGAATTAAATTAAAATATACATTTTTTGTTGTACTGATATTTGTGCAGTGTCAAGTCGGAAATATTTGTTTTGGTACGTTGTGACCCCGATTTCTACGTTTATTATACAGATGTCAATATAAAATTAAAAATTGTTAGAAAAAACAATTATTTGTTTATACATATGAGTAGGTTGCTTTTTCTGAGCTGCAGATTTTTAAAATATTCGGTATTTTGTTGATTTCACCAGAATTGTTTCAAATTTATTACTGGAAGATCCTGATGGGTACTTTAACCTATGACAAAAAATTTCGTATGTCCACGTCTTCGTATTGTCCCCATAAAACGGTTTTCATTTCAGTGGCAATTTTTTTTTTTTTTTTTTTTTTTTTGGTATATTTAATAGTTTTGTTGGATTTTCACTGTGTTCTTTGCTGATTAGATCACTTATTTATTCAGTAGACCCAAAGTTTTCGATTGTCGATAGACAAATTGTGCTTTTTATATGCATTTGATTGTAACTAATGTGATTTTTTTTTTTTTGCTTCTTATTTTTTATTTCATATTTTGCCAATTGATGGAGGTGGTGGAATTGATATTTTAGCACTGGATATAACTAAAACTTTCGGTTATATTGATAATTCAAATCTGATGTACATTTAACTGCAATTCATGTACATTTATTGCTTCTTATTTGTTTGAACGTTCTCAGTGTGTTTCATATTTACTGAGCTGCAGATTTTTAAAATTACCCTGTAAAATGTTTAATGTCAACATTGCTGTTTAATCATCTGTGCAAGTGACATGGGTTTGAAATAATTTTAGCTCTTGCACATCTTTTTAGAAGAGAGGAGCATTAGAAATGGTATTTTTATCTGCCCATTGGAACTTCATTTTTATTAAACGTTTGCCATGACAAGTTAACAAAACGTTTGGCACGGAATTTTAACCAAACTTTTTGCGGGAAAATATTTCATTTATATGTATGGCAGTAAACATGATAATTTAGAACTACTAACTAGAGATACTAATAGGGTAGTCGGCACTTTTAGGATTTTCACGTTCACCATTCTGAGTGGAACTTTTCAATTATTAAAGATTCGATTTTTTAGAATCTATATTTTGTACAGTTTTTGCAATAATAAAGTTTAATAAATTTTATTTATTTTATTTATTAAATTTAATAAATTTGGAGTTAAAAAAATTATTCTTTGTTGCCAGTAGCCGGCACCACTTGCAAATTGTCGGTATGACATGTTCCAACAGTCGGCATATCGATAATAAAGAATTTAATAAAGAATTTATTTATTAAATTTGGTTCAACATCAAAAAAAGGAAATGGTCGCTAGTACTCACTTTGATTTTGGGGTTTGGGTCTCGGATGTCGCTGTACTGTTGTTGCGCTGCTAGTGTCCTTCCTTTCTGCCTGCTGCTTTCATAATTTTCCGTGTCGCTGATCTTCATATCACTGTGTATTGTCTTTCTTGTAGCACTTTTAAACGTCTCAGTGTAAATTGAGTAATTTAGAAAGATTTCGAAAAATGTTAATTTTTGTGCACTTTAAAATTTTAAATTTTCCTAAGACCTTAGAATATTTTTCTGTAGCACTGTGGGATGTCAATTATTGTTGAACTGTGTAAAGTTTATCTTTGTTCAAAATTTTATTTATTATTTTTTTCATTCCACAATTTTTCAAATAGTTTGTACTTATATTTGTGCTTCACTATATTTTTATACCCTCAACCATTCTATGGAGGGTATCTTAACTTTGTCATTCCGATGTAACTCCTCGAAATATTCATAATAGACCCTACAAAGTATATATATTCTGGATCAGCGTAAAACTCTAAGACGATATAGCGATATCCGTCTGTCTGTTATAATCACACTATCTTTCGAACGAATTGAGATAGAAGGCTAAAATTTTGCATATATGCATAGTTTACAAGTAGGCAGGTTAAGTTCGTAAATGATCCATGTCGGTCCACCTTTTCGTATAGCCCCCATGTAACGATACCTCCCGATATTCGGTATTTTCATGATTTTAGCGACATTATTTACCGGAATTATTTAAAATATCGTATTTGAAGTTCGTAATGGTACTACGATCGTACTACAGCCTATGACAAATATTTTTGTATGCAGGCCCAAGTCCTCGTATAGCCCCCATATAATAGCACCTCCCGATATTTGGTATTTTAATGATTTCAGCAGTATTATTCACCGGAATCGTTTCAAATTTCGTACTGGAAGATCCTAATGAGTAGAACAGCCTATGACAAAAATATTAATATGCAGGTCCACATCTTCGTATAGCCCCCATATAACGGTACCTCCCGATAGACGGTATTTCGAGGATTTCAGCAACATTATTCACCGGAATTGTTTCAAATTTATTACTGGAAGATCCTGATGGGTACTTCAACCTATGACAAAAAATTTCGTATACATGCCCACGTCCTAGTATAGTCCCCATAAAACGGTTTTAAGTTGAGTGGCAATTTTCGGATTTTATTTTATTTTTGGTATATTTAATAGTTTTGTTGTATGTTCACTGTGTTCTGTGTTGATTAGATCACTATTTTATTCAGTAGACACCAACCCCATGTTTTCCAACCCGATGATGTGCATAGTCACATCCAACCAGTTTTGGCTGATTGGAATTCAGCATTAGAATTTACCGGTAGCTGCATAAATGTATGTGTGCATGTGTTTATATTATTAAAGTGAAAGTAATATGATAAAATCGGTGCAAACTTTTATAATTTCTGCGATTCTTACTTAAACCTTTTTTAGTACACCTAACCGATTTAACTAGAAAAACAATTGATGGAGGTGATAGTAGTGTTTTTCTAGCACTGGATAAAACCAAAGTTTTCGATTGTTCTGATCATTCACATCAGATAGACAAATTGTGCTTTTTATATGCATTTGATTGCAACTACTGTTTTTTTTCATGCTTCTTATTTTATATTTCATATTTTGGCAATTGATGGAGGTGGTGGAACATTACATAACATAACATTTCACGTTGTTGTAATAATATGGTAGTAAATGTATTTAAACAAATATTAATATGTTATTCTCAACTAGAAGTTATATATTAATATTATCTCTTAAAACATAACCTTTTCATTCTACAACTGTTTCGGTTTTACTTATGAAAATACATAAATTTTGAAACAAATAGACAAATGTTAATATGTTATTCTGAACTACCAGTTATATTTTAATATTATCTTTCAACACCTAAGTTTTTCCACCCACAATTGTTCCGGTTTTACTTATAGAAATACATAAATTTTGATACAAATAATTATGTTTTGAAATGCGAAATAAATTAAAATATACATTTATTGTGCTACGGATATTTCTGCAGTGCTAAGTCGGAAATATTTGTTTTGGTACATTGTGTAGTCAAAATGAAATTAAAAATTGTTAGAAAACACAATTATTTGTTTATACATATGTGTAGATTACGTTGTCTACGCCGCAGATTTTTAAAATTACCGAGCAAAATGTTCATTGCTGTTTAATCATCTGTGCAAGTAACATGAGTTTGAAATAATTTTAGCTCTTGCACATCTTTTTAGAAGAGAGGTTCATTAGAAAAGGTATTTTTAACTGACCATTGGAACGTCATTTTTATTAAACGTTTGCCATGACATGTTAACAAAACGTTGTGCACGGCATTTTAACCAAACTTTTTACGGAAAAATATTTCATTTGTATGTATTGCAGTAAATATGATAATATAGAACTTCTATTAATAGCATACTTAATGTGACACCGTATATATCAGAGAACAATAAAAATAATATATAATGTTCATTTCACGTTGGTCGAGTTAAAATAATCTGGTAGCAAATGTTTCTAAGACAAATGTTAATATGTTACTCTCAACTACAAGTTGAATTTTTATATTATCTCTCAACACATACATTTTTTCCACCTACAATTTGTTCGTTTTTACAAATGGAAATATATAAATTTTTAAACAAATAGTTAAGTTTGAAAATATGCATTAATTGTTCTACTGATAATTGTGCAGTATCAAGTCGGAAATATTTGTTTTGTACGTCGCGACACTGATTTCTACGTTTAAAATACAGATGGCAAAATACTAATAATTTGCAGTAACGTTTATAATACAGGTGGCATAATAAAATGATTCCGTTTGTAGCACCACTAAACATTCGTCATAAAGTATTTATAACCATCGGCAGCATAATAGTCTAAGTAGATTTAGCGATGTCCGTCTGTCTGTTGAAATCAAAATGCAGTCCACAATATTTAACTAGAGCTTTGCAATTTGACACAATAATGAGAATTGTAAATCAGGTATATCGGTCTAGGTTTCAAATTTGGTATTTGCGTTTTAATGACTTTCACCTTCTGTGCCAAACATTGTCGTTAACACACATGTAATGGTATCTCCATATATTTGGTATTTGGTTTAAACTCCTTTTATTGTATTTTTTAATGGGGTCTACAGCCGGTGCCAGATCTTTGCCAATATTACTACAAATTTTCCACATGAGGGTACCGAACGATGTTCGGGTTTTGGATGATTCTGAGCAACTTTTTTTCACGGTATTGTGCCAAATTTCATCTTTAGAATTCACTTTGATATAGGTTCCAGTAAAGTGAAATACGTTTGAATATTGTTTCAAGATTATTTTATATAATAATGTTTTCTTTACCGAGTTTTGCGTTTTCTACTCATCAATGGCGGGTGTATAAGTGAGATACTTTACCCATCAACTTTCTGAGCTCAGTCAATAACGGATGCTGATTGACATAACTGGCATCTCCTCTACACCCTCCATCTGCGGAGAAAGTTGAGCGCGGATAGTCTATGAGCGGCGGTAGTTGCTGTTTATCTAACCTTGATGTATGAATAATTACTATCCTATTGGAAAATAGTTTTAATGTATTAGTAACTGACAAAGAGATTAAAAAAATATTTGACTTCACTTGGCTTTTACTATCGGAAGCTTATATATTGTTGATCAGAGTAAAATTCTAAGTCGATTTAGCGATGTCCGTCTGCCCGTCTGTCTGTCTGTTGTAATCACACTATCTTTCGAACGA